TTTAAAAAATTTGCAGCCATCTCTACAAAAGTTTCTCATTTTATACTCACAGTCCCAGCATGTCCTCTGTGAGTGTGCAATAACTTCAGGGTGAGAGTAAATTTTGGTGTGTTTCTCTTGTAAAAAGCACATACAAACACAAAGGCAGAAGGGAATTCTCCCTATATTTCAGCTGCAAGGACCCTCTACGCAAGTACTGAGAAGTAGCTGCAAAGAGTCCTGTTTCCCCCATGGGATGGAAACACATAAATTCCAAATAATTCAAGGTGAGCCAAAAAGAGAAAAATCGCCCAGGCAGGATAAAAAATTCCAGCTGCACGCTGACCACAATAGAAATCAAGACAACTGTTCAAAGAGCTGTGCCAGGCATCCAGATGCTCCTGCTGGCATCAGATCTTCCACAGTCCGATAGCAGCTGGTTCCAGGGATGGCAGCCAAAGCCTGCACATAAATCAGAGAAAAGGAGAGAGAGAGGGAGAACTGACAGCTCACCACCTGATCAGCACCATTCCTACTATACGGGCATATGCATGTTAGTTACAAATCATTTTTATATTAGAAAAGCAAGACTGATACCAGGGCCTATGACCTTGGAATGAATAGGATTGACATCTGCAAAAACCTCACTGCTCATGTAGGCAAGCCCACTGAGACAATTCTTTAGGATACCTGGATGAGAAAGAAAAACTGCTAGAGAGCATGGAGCATGAGCCTTCCCTCAAGTTTCACAATTTCTGCAGAATGCTCTGTTTTAAAATGTTCACTTCTTTGATTACTGGAGCAATTGGGGGTTCTGTGCATGTGTACTCATCCCCCTTCCTCTCAAATTGCTGCCTACCTTCTGCTGCTGACACCCTCCTTCAGCCTCATGGCACATGGTTTCAGCATGGCACCAAGGAATTGCCTCAAACTGAATGCCTATTATGTATCAAGAAATTGGAGGCAACTTGAAATACCCTTACAATTAACTGTCCCCAAGGTGTACTTCCCAGGCAGTTTCATGCATGCTTGTGGCTCAGAAAACACATATTGTCTATACTCCTTCCACTCCCAGCAAGCTGAGACTGATAAAACAAGTCACCAAAGTGCAGGAGGTCAAGCGTCCCCTCTCCTCTGTTCTGCCTCTATTTTTCTCTGGTGAGATCCCACCTGGAGCACTGTGCTCAGCTCTGGGGGCCCCAGCACAAGACTGACAGGGTCCTGTTGGAGTGGGTCCACAAGGCTGGAGCCCCTCTCCCATGAAGACAGGCTAAGAGAGCTGGGTTTGCTCAGCCTGGAGAGCAGAAGATTTCAGGGAGACCTCATAGCACTTTCCAGTACCTGAAGGGGGCTACAAGACAACTGGGGAGGGACTTTTCCATGGGCATGCAGCAACACCTAGTAATAGTTTTAAAAAAGAAAGAGGGAAAGTTGAAACTGGACACAGAGGAATGATTTTTTATTATGAGTGTCGTGAGACACTAAAACAGGCTGCACTGTTGTAAATGCTACAATCCTGGCAGCATTCAAGGCCAGGCTGGATGGGGCTTTTAGAAACCTGGTCTAGTGAAAGGTGGCCCTGCCCATGGGATCTTTAAGAGACCTTCAACCCAAACCATTCTTTGGTCCTGTGATTCCAAGTAACATGGAACTGGCAAATAGAAGTAGTGACTGACAGAGAGTAACTCAGAGGATCTGAGTTAGGTGTCTGCTTCTGGGCACATTTCAAGTAGCCAGAGTTCAGTAACTGTTGTGACGTGGTAGAAAAAAAAAAACTGTTGTGGTTTATATACAGATGGTGACAATTATCTAGGACACTACATTCAAGTTACATAGGACAGAATGAATTAAGCTGGAGCATCACCAGGAGGAAAAAAATATCCTCTGACATGAAAAGGTTACAGAGGGAAAACTTCCAGGATAGACAGAGCTGGAGTGCAGCTCAGCCAGAGGATCCTGTTCCCAGGCCTTTGCTAACAGCAGCAGTAAATATAATTCTCATGAGAGAGATAAGCTTGTCCTTAATGAGGGATGTGGACTGTATTAGCTACAGGATGCATGTTCCTCTCTCTTACATGGAGAAAGGGACACAACAAATACACTGTTCCTGGTAATGTCCCTAGTTATCTAATGACCCAAAAATAAAAACAATATGGCCATTTTTATTTTTCAGTAACTCTCAGTAATATTTCTATCCATGTCTCCATTAAAATTAAGGTCCTGAAATCCTTCACCCAACCAGAACAGGCCACAGGTGTAGCCTGGCCCAGTGTCAGGTCCCCAATCCCTGGAGACACACAGAGAGGAGAACAGGGGCACAGCAAGCACAGCCATGCAGCACACTCCTGTCCACCCCATCTCCAGCTGCCTCCACATCTCCAACACCACAGGGGCTGGTGTGCAGAGAGGAGGACCTGGCCCTATATACCAGTTTGGGGGTGCTGTTTTGGAACAGATAAGACTCAATGTCCCTTTGCACATAGAAAACATTAGGTGTGCTTCCAAAGTCCATCTTGTGGGTGAGTTTCACCTAAAACAACTTCAGCTTGAGGGCTCTGAAGCTACCCCCAGGCAAACCAAAGCACAGGAGGCGGGAATGGATCAGGCAACTGCTTCAAAAATTGTTTCTGGTTGTTCTTTGTTCCTTCTCTATAACTTCTAACTTGGGTTTTTTTTTTTTTTTTCTTTCTTGACAGCTATTAAACTGTGCCTACAAAATTAGCTGTTATGAACCTAAGATCTTATTCCTAAGGCCCATCAAATTGCTTAGACCCATTATCAGCAGTGAAAATTAGATATAAGAAACCTGAACCATGCCCAGCTTTTTCTACATTCCTTTAAGGATCAGATCACAATTATGATCAAATACATCCCATCTCCAAAACCACAATTAATCCCTCCACCAGATTTTATCTCAACATTCCTGATGGCCAGTGAGCTTCAAATGAACTACTTATTTTGATTAAGTATCTCAGAGGAAAATGTTATTTTCTTCCACTTTGCAGAACAAAAATGTTATGGTTAGAGGCACTGGGCAAGACAGTGTGGTGAAAAGCAGGAAGAGTAATTGCACTCTTACAAACAAGGCCATCACATGAGTAAGTCTGGCTGCTGGCATCTCTGCAGGTCTGAAAGGAAGTTCTCTACACCACCAGAGAAGTTTCCCAAGCTCCAATTGTACCAAGCACAATAATCCGGTCTCGGAAAAAGAGGATCTTCAAGTCAGAGGCAATGTGTGTTTCATCACAGCTCCAAGGGGTCCCTGGAGCAAAGGGCCAAGGTATGCCAGTGATCCCAGTTGCACAACACGGAAGAGGCCCCGCTACAGATGACAAATTTCATGTCTCACCAAACTTTGTGGGTCTTGCCTGCGTGCTTCAAGTGCATTTGTTTTCTTTCTTGACCAAACCTGATCCTTATAAAAGTCATTATAAATCAACCCTGGCCTAGAATGTTGTTCTGCTAAAAATACAAGCACTCTTTGGTTCCTCTTATGCCTGCTCAGCAAAACAGCACACTGCTGCTGGAGATGCAGTGACAGCGTGCCGAACTGGGCTGCACCAGGGGTGCTAGGACAAAGGCTGGGAATGAGCAAACAGGTGAGAGAGGGGACAGAAATTCCTGACTTTAGAGTCATCCTGGTTGGAACATCTCCTGCCTCAGGTCCATGGGCTCTGGAAGTGGTGATCTCACAACAGAAAAACTGTACTGGAGATGGAGATATGGTCCTCAAGGGAATCAGACAGTAATATCATCCAGTCAATCATCTCCTGTCTTCCTTTGGTAAGAATTCACTACATCTAAACTGCTCTAGAAACCATCAGCTTCAATCAATAGGATTGTTCTAATAAACTTACATTTATATCTTGAATTCATTCTAGTCTTTAACAAGAATTTAAAATTCTTGAAAGTATTCCTCTGCATATATACAGTAATTTATGTGGGTTATACATGATAGAGAAGTTTCTTAGAATAGTTTCCCCTTCATTTATCATGTCCTGAATAACTCATTTGCTGGCCCATGCCCAAAAATAACAGAACTATTCTCATGTTAGTGCTGATAAATATTTTCTTCACATCATCCTGAATTTTCTTTTCTATTTGATATTATATACACAAGGAAAAAAACATAGACAGATACATTAAAATATACTAAATTAAAGAATTACAACAAAACAGGAAATAGGTTTACTGCAACTTTATATACTGAAAACAAAATGTGGTCACATCAAGGCAAATTCCAGAGCAACAAGACAGTCAACTCAGTATGAAATTAAACAAATACGCAAAAGAAAGTCTACAAGAAGGTCTAGATTTTATCCCAGGATGCAAGTTCAAAGGGGAGGCAAGGTGACAGCTCAGGGTCCATAAACCTTCTTGTATGCATGGAGAGTAGGAACCGGTTGTCAATAGAGGTAATAAAAAGCAGCTTGCAATATCCTACAGAACGAATTGATTATTGGTAGGAGCTTGCTGAAGCAAGTGTTCAGGAACTGCAATCGAGATTCATCTCTATCTCTAATCTACAGACTCCAGGATTTTGATTTTCATTTTGCTGTCTCCCCTTTGGTTGGGATCTAAAAGGAGGTACAGAAAATGGGAGAACATCAATCCACTCAATTTCCCTGTTCAGTAAGACCATCCTACAAGATTAACTGCAGTCCACTTTCAATACAAGAAATCAAAGGATTGTGCAGAAAGGGCTGACAGGAGTACCTGAAATAATCCAATAATTGGATTCAAACATTGGACCCAGATCTCAAATTTAATGCCCAACCCAAAAAAAAGAAGGAAAAAAAAGAGGAAAGCAAGAGCAATAAGGACAACCAATGTCATATATTGCCAGAATATTCCAGGCATAGGCCTAGTTATTTATGAATATACATAGTTTGACTAAATGCCCAACTACCATGTAAAAATGACAATGATAACTGTAATGCAACTTTGTTCACTATAGCATAAATGCCAAACAAAGGTACAATATTCCACGTATACTTTTTCTATTATTTTGTTAGGTATTTATTTTTAAATGGAGTCAGCCAGAACAAACAGCTGCCAAGAATCTCTTCCAGTGTATGAGCAATCTGCTTCTAATATTTACCATGTTGTGGGCTTGCCTTTAGAGAAAAGGAAAAAAAGAAAAATGTTCAGTGTTTGGATACAAGAAGTCACATGCAAAATGCTACATGTTACCTCTTGCTGCATCTTCCCCTATGCTGTACAGGTAAATTCCTCTTCCATTAGAAACATCTGCATCCCTTCCAGAGGATGAGAGACCAGCCCGATGTTTCCATCAGACAGCAATGGCACTCATCCCAGGACAAGCAGGTGATTTTTTTCAGTCTGCAGCATTTATGATGGCACTGTTCCCTACCACTGCTTATCTTCCAGCTGCAAGTGATAGCGTTTCAAATTTTGAACCAAATAAATCAGAATTAAGATATTACCTGATCCTCTATATTTTTAGAACTAGGTCAATAGTTATTTTATTCCTGGAGCCAGAGAAGTTTGAGCAAGAAAAACTGTGTCAATCAGTACAAAATGTATTCATTAGTTTTGCATGCGTATTGGCTTAGATGTCTAGTCCAGCTTCACCATTTCTGTACTGAAATGAAATACATTATGCTGAAGCAGACAACCTTATTAGATTTTGACCTTCACTACTAACTCTGTCTAGTTAATTTGCTATATCAGAAATGTAAGTTACATGTGTGCTGAGAGGTGTGCATATTGTGCATATAAGCATTTATGCATTTCTTACACAAAAAACAAAATTTCTGCTTTTGCGTGTTAATTGTGTCAGAAAAAGAAACCACAATGGGACCATGCACTTGCCTGATAAAGCCCAACTCTATTACAAAAAGCATGCAGTGTCCTTTCTCCTTCTACACAATACAATCAATGCAAAGATAGTATCTTCAACATTTCCCAGATCTATCCTGGTGAACACTTACCTGAAAAACCTGTTAGTCACAGTATTTTCTCCACTCTTGTGGAGATTTTGTTCTGATTTTGTTCTGCTTTCCTAATGTTTTTCCCTTAACCACAGATGTTTTTAACACACCATCTTCCCATCCCAGGTACAGTTATGAGATGACAGGGAGTACCTATTCTGCCTTCAAGTTAAGCCTCTGTGCCAAAGGACAGAATTTTGGGGACCAGGAGGCTCTCAGGCTTTTGGCTCTTTTTATAATGCCCTTCTTAGTTTCACTATAAATCAGCTCTATCAAACATGTAGTTAGGTCATCCAGTCCACAATAACACATCTTCTTTTCAACAAAAAGACTAAGAGGGAAAAAGGGATCAAATTTTCAAACAGGTTATTTATCTGACACGTGGAGACAGTGTATCTAACAAATATTAGTGTAAGTATTCACTTGCATTTAATTTTGTACTTATTAAAAAAAAAAATCACAAGTTGATTTGTTTCAACTACAAGATGCTGGGGTAGATACAGGAACAATTAGCCTTAATCATCACGTCCTGCTCTTGCCTTAAAGTTTAATATATTATTCAGGATACAGCATCAATTAATCTGAAGAGCACACAGAGAAATTTTCTTTATGTATCTGCATCTGAATTTGACAAAAAGAAAAATGTTAAAGCAGAAATATATACTGTTGTCTGTTGCCAGTTTATTGCAAAACAGACATTTCAGTCTTCCAAACTCTTAGTGCAGAAAGGTCTCAGATAGGATGGGAACTGGCATAATTCTTCTAACTTGTAAAGCAGTTTATTTAACATTTAAAGATTTGATGTCTCCTCTGTGATTTTTCTCTTATGTTCACACGCATTATTGCCCTTCTGTAAAAATAACTTTATTTATTTTTAAAATATAAACTCTGTATGATGAACAAAAATAACAGTGTCTCAGCTTAATTTCCTGCCACCCCAATTCTAATGCCTAAAGACGTGGAGGAACAAATCAGTAACAATTGGATTTCTGCTCAGATTTCACAAACATGATGAGAAAAGGGTGACAATAGAGACTGTATTTCATCAACCTAACTGCTCTCATCTAACATAAATATGAAATCTTTTTCCTGGCATCCAGCATGAAATAATCACTATAGGTTTTCTCCATCATGTATTCAATTTACCAAAGAAATCTCAAGTTCAGTTAAATTCACCCTGCATTACAGAAGGTCAAAAGTGTTTTTAGTTGGTGTAGTTACAGAGTTTGTAGTCCAGTGAAGACATCTCCAGCACTGGGATAATCCTCTACATGCAACTTTCCTCTTCCTAATTTCTGAACAATATCCTGGGAGGCAGCCTAGTAGGGACCCAGACCTCTTTTGCTTTGTTGTATGCACTGAAATGGCAGTAAATAACCATTCAAGAGTTTTTAGAAAATAAGAACAAAGACTGAACACCGTGAAAATGAGGGCAAATTACAAAAACTTCAGTTCACAATCAATAAATTAAACTCCCTGTTTTAAATCAGCTGGTCCTGCAGCACAAACTTAACTTGATAACAAAGGTCAGCAGATACTACTGGGAACAGATGCATCAGGAATAAGGAAAGGAAATGCTTCTGTCACTTTTGGAGCTCCTTTATACAAATCCACCATCAAACACTTATAAGAAGCACAATTAAGGAGGAAAATAAACCTGCAAGTATCACATTTCTAGAATTTTTAAATTCAATTCATTACTATAAACTGCTGGAACTTGAACTGCATGACTATGTGCCCAAACCACTATAAAAGAGCCTTAGATGTCTTTGACTCCAAACAAAACTACTGAACCTCAGGAAGAAAAGAGGAAAAGGAAAAAAGATATAAACACCTGTGGCATAATATTCTCTTCAGAAGCTGGCAAAGTTCAAAACCTTAGCCGGCTATGGTAAGCGTCCTGTAACAACTTGGCATATTTGGGGCTCCATGAGAAGACTGCTTAAGTTCAGACAGAGAACTTCACAAAATACTTCTGTGGACATCCAGCCTGGGGTGTGGGAGTTGCCTTTCAAAGCTACTAAATATGTGTCAGTAACAGACAGAAAGCTGCTTCCAACTGTTATGAAAAGCAATTAAAGAGCAAAGCAGCAGAGATCCAAGAACCATTTTCTGGATTCCCTTATTGACTGCGTGATTGGAGAGCCACAAGAAACCAATCATGCTGGGTGAAAGACAAATGGCATCTTAATATCAACTGTAAATGTCTACATTTATTTAGTACCCAGAAATGTGATGAATCCCCAGGAGATATATTAATTGCTGCAGGAATTTAGATTAATTCATGCATTAATGTCCTTCACCAGTGTCACTCCTTATCCTTTCTTTGCTGGCTGTTGAGGCTGCAAATACCTGAACCAGGGAGAGAAAATAAATCCTGATGTCTTCTGATCTGGAAGGATATGAAGCAGAGCCCCAAAAAGGCTCAGAGAGGTGCCACCTCCTCTGTCTCACAAAGCCTCAGGAAACATTAGCCTATAGCATTTGACAGCACATTCAGAACTAGATAGATAGACAGACAGATAGATATTAAAATTATTTGCATTACAGTTTTCATACTGAATTTCCTTGATTGAAGTATTACATTAGTTAGAAACCAAGACCATTTATACACACACAAAATCCAGCTGTCGTATTTGGAAAGCCATTTCTAAAACAGTTAGTGTGAGCACAGTTCTACAGAGAACATCCTTCACCTCCCCTGAAGTTTAGTTTTAAAAAGTTATCATAGCAAAAGCTGTTGGGTTTTTTTTAGAGTAACAACTGGTGTACCTTTTAAAATGGCTTATTTATTTATAAAACATTTGTGTGCATGGACAGTTAACATTTTTTAACTGTCTTGGTGCTGCTTTGTTATGACCCCACTGTGTAACACTATGAGATTCTTACCATTCAGGCTAAAGCTACTGAAGCAGAAAGGTGAGGTAGTACTTCATGAGCAATTACTTTCTGTAGAACCCTGAAAACTGGATATTTTAACATCAGGTTATATTTCACAGAAAGCCTTCACCAAATGCAAAAAATGTAGAATGTATAGCCAGAGGGACAGGCCACATTCAGCTTAGCTTACCAGGCTAAGCTGAATATTTGAGGCAGAACTTTTAGAGGAACATGGAAGATGAACATTTGTTTGACTACTTATGGCACACTACAATACAATAATGATTTCCAAAAATGCTCTGGAGGTGTTAGTGCCTTTAAGACACCTGTTAAAAGTTTAAACAAGCCCATACAAAACAACAGTACTTGCACAACACACACACTGCCATTATGGTCGAAAGGCTTTAAACAGAATAGTCCAAAATAATGACACTGCTCATGACTTCCAAAACCACCAAGGAATGATGTTGTTTATGTTAAGTGAATGTCAACAAAAGCCTTCCACAAAACTCAGCTGTCAAGTGTTTTCTGTAAGTCATTACCACTCAGGGAAGGTTTGTATTAATCTCTGTAGTGAGATCCAGCCAGGAGAATTTCCAGCCTGCAGTGGGCAGCAGCAAGACAAAAGCCACAAGTACCCTCTGCAGCCCCAAGGGTAGGTCCCAGTTCTTGACACCACGCTCAGCTGACAGGGAATGCTGCAAAGCACATGCAGGGATGACTGCTTGGTCTTGCAGGAGCCATGCGAGCTTGAGACACAACAGCATCAGCCATTCTTAATTGACAGTGCCTTGCCTCCCCAATGCCATAACAAAGGTAATTCATTGGGCTGCCTTTTCTGGCCACACGCCTGCGAGGATGAGCTGTTTCATTCATGACATCTAGCTTTAATGTAGAGCTATAAATGTAAATCCCAACTCTGAAATATTTACCCTTCTGTTTATCTCTTCAGTGCCTACCTCTTTAGTATTTCTTCTATTTTGCCCAATACAATAACGGTGTAAAATGCCTCCTGCTGGGATACACTGTAGCTATAAATGTTGTACAATTCCTTTAGGAAGAGGGGAGTGCTTGCTTTCTAGTAGTGTGAGTCTTACTTTTATGGTCCTATTAATTCACAAGTTACCAGGCTGTAAATCTGCCATTATTCTAATGTACTGTATTTTGGCTCCTCTGCCCTTCAAGCTACCACATACTTTTCAACCTTACAGGAGAAAGAAATCCACGTTTTGAAGAAGGAAACATTCCCACAGACAACAGTAAAGAGGATGTTTTAGCCGGCA